CTACTACTACTACTACTACTACTACTACTACTACTACTACTACTACTACTACTACTACTATTACTACCACTACTACTACTACCACTACTACTACTACTAGTCATACACCTACCATAAAAGGTCTTGTTTTGTGTTCTGTTTGTAAGTGTGTTGTTTATTTATTTTTATTCGAGGTCACTTCTAATTGGTCTCTAAGATGTTAAGTTTCAACAGAAATAAATAAGAATTAGATTGGATTGAAATGAATTATTTTTATGAACTGAAATCATCTGCTGCTGTCGTATTCTATAAGAGCCATGGTTCTTCCAGTTATTAAAATGATAATTGTATTCAGTGAAAATCTGTGTTTTATATTTTACTTCACAAAAACACACTTGTGACAATAAAATTACTAATATTTTAATTATTACTATATAAATACTGTATCTTTTTTCTGTGATTTCCTTTGTGTTTTGCTTCTTTGCTTCACTCGTGCTAAATATTTAATTAGCTTTTCTGTTGTTAGACCGCCTCTGTGGTCTAGTGGTCAGCGTTCCTGGCTACAGATCCAGAGGTCCGGATTCGATTCCCGGCTCTATCAGATTTTTTCAGAGAAGTAGTGGATCTGGAACGGGGTCCACTTAGCCTCGTGATGATAATTGAGGAGCTATTTCAAGGAAATAGCGGCTCCGGTCTAGAAAACCGAAATTAACGGCCGTGGGGATCCGTTGCGCTGACTACGCGACACCCTCTATCCGAAAAATTTGGCACTAACTTCGCCGACAAGCGGCGGTCACTCGGTCGGTATAGTTCGCTTGCTGACTAATATCACGGAGTTTGTTTTTTGTTTGTTTGTTTCGGTTGTTAAGAAGTACATAGACTAGAATTCAATTGAACTAATATTATTGGTATTACAACCTCGTAACAAATGCCACGTTACTTATAAAGTCACATTAGAGCCTCACTGAAACCTATAGAATGTAAGTATAGTAACGCATTACCAATTACCACTTTCCCTTACAGGTATCAAGATCTGCAGACCTGTCAGAAGCCAAGTGGCTGCAATTTATGGATTCAGAGCAACTGGACGAATATTTGAACGGAACGTATATTCCTCTGGACTGCCACTTCATCGTGGCACGGCCGACTGAGTCGGGTACAGTAATATTCACCGAGGTGTATCATATCAGGAGAAATCAGCGCTTGCAGAAACTAAACCTGGGTGAATGGCATCATGAAAGAGGTCCCAGCTGGACGAATATATCATTTTACACGCGAAGAAGTGATCTTCAAGGAGCCACATTAAACGCAGCCGTCATCTCAGATGTAAGCATTTAAAGTGTTCCGTGTTCCAGTCTTCTATAGAAAAATATGCAGTTATGTAACTGTTAAAACATGTGTTGTTTCTGTGTTTTTATTAAAACTGGAGAATTCGTGAATGGTTCAACTGTTGTTAAGAGCAGAAACGACTAAATATGGGTTTCCGTATGATCAGCACAAAATGAGGTTATAGGTAGCCACACTCGTTTAGCAACTAAACGACTAAAAGTTTCACTATTCTGTATAAATTATTACAAGTTATTAGTATTTTATTGCATTTAAAGAGAAATAATGCTTGTAACAAAAAGAATGATATATTTGATGTTATTTTTAAGGTCTTCGTTTCATTTATTTAATGAGTGACATAGCATGTAATTATGCTAAGGATTTCATCGCTAAGTTCCATATAATCTGAAGCTCTATGTTGAACAATACAATGGATACTAGACGTCATAGTTTTTATAAAGTTTTGCTAAACGAACATCACTATAAGGAACACAGACACGAGTAAGTGCTAAAAGAAAATGAGGAAAAATTGATACTGAATAGATGAAATTCTTGGGAACAATAAAGGGATGTAAGGCTTCAAGAATAAATAAAATGGCAAGAAGTTCTTGGAAGAACTGATCGGCTATTTTCCTTGCACAAAATGCTGGCCGCATATAAAACGACACCTCCAACAATTCCTCGACGCTGCCACTGCTAGCAGCGACAGGAGAATACAGAGTTAGACCCGCAGACTCTCTATAGCACGACATAGACCGTAGATAAAACGACACCTCTAACAATACTTACATTGTGTGTTTGTTGCCACGGGAACGTGTCTGCCGAGCCGCTGCCTAACAACAGTAAGCGGGGATACACACACGAACACACAGACTAATGGGAGTGATTTATGAAGTACATATTTGAATGGGCACAGTTGTCATGAAATACATACAAAATTTCATAAATATTAGCTCAGGCGTTCAAAATTTAATGGGGGTAGGTATTCAGAGACACACAGACTGCATGGAGGTAGCATAAGCCTACTTCCATCTTTCCAAAATAAGGAAAGTAGGCTAAACGTTAAAAAAATCCAATATATGTAAACAAAATTAAAGAAGATTTTGACAAAAAATGCAGAGAAAAAATTATCAAGGAATAGAATACGGAAGATTGCATAAAGAGGTCCGGATATAGAACATATTGTGCAGGATAGAGAGAGAGAGGGGGGGGAGATGCATGAGATGGAACCGGAGATAGCTTAATCCTTAGACCGTACGTATTTCATTTTCACTGCAACTCGCATTCTCATCTGATTAACTCATTATAATCAGTCACATCATAAGAAAATAATATTAAATATATTACGTTGTTTCAATACATCCCGCACGTATGTAAATCTTTTACAAACTTAAAGTTTGTTCCCCCACGAAATAGTGTTACGTATAAGAAAATCAATTAGCCATCAATTAACTTAAGTTTCTCCTCGTTTGTGTTAATTAGGGTGCCATCTGCCGTATCACAGAGTTCAGAAACAACAAACCAGTTCAGGTGGGAGGGTTCTTCGGAGTGCTGTGGAATGCTTTACGATACCAACTGAATTTCACGTAAGATCTCATGTGCTCATATTCTGTAGGCCTAAGAGCAGTTTGTTTGTGTACACCTTTTTTAATATCAGTGAACTCTGGCCTGGATCGGAATTGCTGAAGAACACAAGGCTTAGGCAAATGAATATATTTTAGTCCCCAGATGAAAGGCTGGAAATCACCTAATTTGTTGAGTTTGTTAGAAAAAGCTAACCTCACTCACCACCCCTTCACCCGTGGGCAGAAATAGATCATATTTCCAAAACGTTTTCTTCTTTAGTGTTCTTTAGAATTCTGTGGCGCATAGACTCGTTGCTGAATGGCAACTCTGTAAAAGCGGTCGTTGTATGGAGCGCCCGCAGCATACGCATGCGCGGTGACATTATATAATAATAGAAGAGATGCTGCAGGGGGCTTTCTCTGTGGGTCCGCTCTGAGGTTATATGACTCGACAGACGGAGTTTAGTTCAACGAGTGAGTGCAGCGTATTTGATGCCGTTCAGTGGGGAAGTTGAGAGGCGAGAATTCACTTGTGGTGGACTAACTGGCTGGCAACGGAAGCTGAAGAATCTCCATTGCTAAGATTTGTTACCTAGAAACGTCTAGTGAAGACACTGTAGAGGAATAGCCATTGTTGAGAGCCGTTACCAAGTAAGGACTACTGAAAGTAGACTGGGAAGACTTAGCGTTGAGTGGTTTGTTGTTACGACCTGTAAGTGGTCAATAAATCTATTCACCAATCCAAACCCCGTCTATAGTCACGAATACATTTGACAATACGGATGATGGATAAAGTACAAAAACTAAAAAATTCCAAGTTTAGAATCTATTCAAAACCTGAGGTTCTCAAGACTTTATTAAGACTACAGCCTTCCAGTTCATGTAGTTTCATATTCTCCAAATCACGTCCCGTAATACCAGATGGCTAATGTGTGAAGTTAATGTAAATTTAAGCAGGTCTTGGAAAATCTCCAAAATGATGCGGAGAGAATAAAATAGGTATTTTAGCGAAACTACCAGTATTCTTCCTCGAGTTCGGGAGGTACCTGCCTATAGTTCCACCAGCAATGCGGCTACTTTCAGTAAGATTTCTCATGTTTTTCCTGTGTTTCTCCATTTGAATGCCGAGATATTACACCAAAGGAGGCCAGTAGAAATACCAGTCTCTACTTCGCCACGCACTTCATCCCATCATTTCACATCGAGCTCCATATATTCACCGCAGTTAATGCAGCACAGTGAAATGAACTAAAAGAAGCAAAACAAGAGAGGAAGAATAGTCTTACTCTAAACCAAATGAAGAGAAATCAACTACAGACCACTGCAACTCCTATATATATTTATTCAGATGCCTCCAATTCATAACTCACCCCCTTAACAGTCGTGCATCAGTTTTATGCAGAACAACTAGATTTTTACTCGCTATAACAATATAAGGCCGGTCACGGTAGCCGAGCGGTCTAAGGCACGTACTGTTTTCGCTCGCTTGGAAACCGGGATCGTGGATTCGAATCCCACTCAGGGCATGGATGTTTATTTTGTGTGTGTGCGTTTCTCTGTGTTTGTGTACAGATAGAGGCCTTGCGACGAGCTGATCACCCCCCAAGGAGACCTACCGAATGTGTAAGATCTAGAAAAACCGAAGTGAACGGAGAAGTTCATGGAGGTAGGCCTAGGTCCACTGGGACTGTAGTTCCAAGGAGGAAAAAAATAACAATATAAAAACACTTTAAGTTTAATATATGGAATGTAGAAAGAACTATTTATAGTACATTGTTACAAACTAGATTCTTATTGTACATGTATATAAGAGCGACGTACCCACAGAACTTAGTACGAAATATATCCTAGTGCCCAATTCCAGAAATAGGTTCCTTGTAGTTTTAAAATTTTGACGGAATTGAAGAAAACTGCATCACAAAGAATTTAAATTCGGTTATCTGTAATGGTGACTTTCTTGTTTTCATTTTAATTTTGATGTCACAAAGCATATTTGTGTCGTGGTTACTCGACGTCTGCAACAGATATAGAACTAACTTTCGCAGAGGCCGCGCCATAGCTCAAGCGGTTAGTCGCTAACTTCCCACTGCGGCGGCCAGACTTCGATCCCGGGTCTGATCAAGTGGGATTTGTGGTGGCCATAGTAGCGCTGGGGAGGGTTTTCTCTGAGTACTTCGGTTTCCCCTGCCAATCTTCATTCCACCAAATTCTCCATCATCATTATCAACCGGGGCAGGATACAATAGGCCAATCAGTAATCGCCGTGCCCGAGTGGACCCAGCTAGACTCCACCTCCCACTAAGCGAATTAAAAAAATAATCGCATCGAATGTAGACTAATTAGGAGCCATAGTATTTGATGATAAGATAAAGTTGTCCCTTTACTCAACGAAATAAGCACTACGCCATGAAGGCGCATAGGGGAGTGGACGTATAGATCCATATTCCCTTGACCTTGGTGCTAGCTGGGAGTGAGTGGTCAGCTTGAAGCACCTGTCGCTTTACCACCGGGGTAAGAGCCACGGTACCCATTGGATAGGAGGTTGGGTGGACTACGTGGAGAAGAGAAAATTCTTGACCCCACCGGGACTCGAAATCCAAGCACTCACTCGTCCATCTCGTAGCCAGTCGCTATACCGACTGCGCTGTCTCGGCTCCCATTATTTCATGGCTTGTTAATATAGAAATGGTACCAAGAGAAAGAATATATCTGGCTGCATCTCAAGGTAATATCCAGTGGTGGGCTGTTCTGCTTACGAAGAGGAAACTGTGAGTCCACAAAAGGCGGGAAATTTCTCACTTGGTAAATTACTATTAGTGTCCGAAGGAAGATTATCCTCCATGGAGTTAGCTCATTTCTGAAGAATTTAATGAGTGAAATATTTGCTATCGACAGGATTTTTAAAAAATGAAAGAATAAATGTAATTTGATTGTGGAGGGTAATCTTGGCTGTTAACGTATCACTCTATTGCTGTAAAGGGTAGCCTTTAAATGTATTAAGTTATTTATTATAAAAGAGTTAGTTATAGAAATAGTTACGTAGTTAAAGGCCGCGCCATAGCTGAAGCGGTAAGTCGCTGGCTTCCCACCGCGGCGGCCCGGGTTCGATCCCGGGGTCTGGTCAAGTGGGATTTGTGGTGGACAAAGTGGCGCTGGAGCAGGTTTTCTCCGAGTACTTCGGTTTCCCCTGAAAATCTTCATTCCACCAATTGCTCCACAATCACCCTCACCTATCATCTGGGGCTGGTACAGTAGGCCAGAAGTGGCCGCAGTACAAGGGACTTGTACCCTTGTACCCCACTAGCAATAAAAGAAAATAGTTATAGCTAGAGAGAAGATCAGGTTGATACACCGATAATTAAAACATTAATTAATTAGTTTCTTAAATAAGACAAATAGGAGCAAGTGATCAGACAAACACGTAGCCGCCACTAAGCTGATTAATCAGCATTGAGATCGACCATTACATCAAAAACTCTACTAAATCCTTAATACCACTGATGGTACCTTACAGCTCTGAGTTCATGAAACCTCCCGATGGAGGCTACGGATCCAGAGGTAAAAACGGATGGAGCGGTATGATCGGGATGTTGGTCAGGAAGGAGGCGGAGGTTGCGGTGGGCGCTTACGTCATGACGCAACTTCTACTCGACCACGTCCACTTCGTTTCACCAATGGGAGCGACAAAGTGAGTCCTTATTTACGTTTCTACTTGACCTCGTGTCATCTGGACAGGTATTGTTACAGGTATTGTTACAGGTATTGTTATACCTGTACCAAAGTCAAACTTCTTTCAGTGGCCCCTTACTTTTCATTAACGTGGCATGTAGAATCTTTGTTAGGCAAAACCGCAAAATAAGCAACTATACAACGGCCGTTGCTAGGCAACGGCTCCACAAACAAACATGTTTCGACAGCCACAAGAGAATGTTAGATAACTGCTTCGGTTCGGTCATTGTGAGCTGTTGCTCTTAGAAGCTGGTAGCTGAGGCACAGGGATAGTTCGGAAATCCTCAGGAAGGAGAACGTCCGCCGTTGGAAGCCGCTAACAAGCAACGACATGAAGGCGTGTCTGTCGACACTAGTGTATGTGTGTAATACGAGTGAACTGTAGTGAACTGTAAATTGTAGTCACGCGCTTTATCAAAGAATCCAATGAATCCTGTCATATGTATTCTGTTGTTTAATTCTGTAACTCATGCATATATCTTATCTACTATTTCTTTTTTGCTATTCATCTTTTTATTAATTGTCCATACGCTAGTTTATCAAGTTTCGAAATTCCAGTTATATTTAAGGAAAACGCATCGTTGCGTGCCAGGAATCGTTGATTTGATAGTCGGTTGTTTCTGCGGCGATGTATCAAATACTGATCACGTGGAACATTGAATGATATAGACCATGATATATGGCAGGTTTCATTGCAATGGTTAGCATTCAGTTTCCATAGTGCAGGTCCCAAATTCTGAATCTGCCCGCAGAGAACAGCTCCGTATTCCGTATTCCGTATTGAGGGGGTGGGATTCCCCATGCACTTAGACCGGTTACTGGTCCATTGTGCGTCCCCCTTTAATTTCTACTGTCTCCATACCCTACCGGTATTGGTGCTTACTATCAGCCCCTTTTTGCCAGCGAGGTTTCAACCTCTTACTGGCAGTGGTATCTAATAGTCAGTCCCTTTTTGTCAGCGAGGTCGTCCCTCCTCTGGCAGGGGTTCCTAGTCCCTTTCTGCCAGCAAGGTTTCTACCCTCTACTTGGCAGTGGTATCTGATACTTTAGTCCCTTTCTGCCAGAGAGGACCCCCCTCCTCTGGCAGTGGTACCTGATACTTCCCCCATCTACCGGAGGAATTGGAAACCACTTGGGCGGGAACTTGGCCTAATTTTGCTCAGAGGTCTCCTAGAGACATGAGGTTCTTTTACGTGCCGTAAATCTACGACAAGGGACCCACGGCTTAAAGTCCCTCCCGGAGGACTTGTTCCCTGAATCTTTCCGCCCTTAAAAATTCCACGACATCCGCCGGGTTTTTGAACCCGCATACCTTGAGTCATGAGGTGGGAACGTTACCCCTAGACTACGGAGGGCGCTCAGAGAACAGCTAGTCTGCATAATATTTTACATGGATCATTTGTTCAGTTCTTTCTGAGAACTACTAGAACGGAAGCAACGAAAACTACTTCCTCGCCTCTGTCAATTTGTTAAATCTGTCAAGCCTGACATACGTCTAAATAATATTTAAAACCCTGTTTCTACCTCACGTAAAACAGAATGATCAGGCCGTTAATATTGTTTAGGAAAATAATGGATGTGTTATATGAGGATCATGCGAAATTCATAAATACGTTCTGTGGGGAAAAATTCAGAGTTCTGAATGTTAAAACTTGTGGTACGCATAACAAATGCTCTTTAAAGGGCTAATCGTTTTCTTTCTACTATTCAACAGTAAATAACATATGAAACCGCGAGATCGTCCATGTATAAACCAAGATTCAATCCACAAACTCAGTTCAGTAATGAAAATTTTTAAAAATCGTAATATTTCTGATCATGTAACTGTAGAACAGGTTGCGTCCTATACAGCCCATTTGTCAGGAGAGAGATAAGCTTACGTTATTTCACTTGGGGCTAATGATCTCGCATGACTATGGGATGTATAACTCGTGTAGTTCTGTTAGGCTGGGGCCACACGAGCGCACAAAATGCGTCCGTTGTAACGAACGTACTTTATGACGGACCCATTTTGTGCGCTCGTGTGGCCCCAGCCTAAGGGACAGGGTTTCATTTTATTCGTAGAAACGTGGCGCGCCGATAACAGTGGCCGCGCGGCCTAAGGTAGGCCGCACACCGGCATGCGTCAAGATATATGACAGTCAAGACACGATGTCTGCGACATGTTATTATATGTTAGCGTGTGTTATTTGTCTGTTGTCTTATTGTACTATCATTGCCACTGGGTGAAAATCCGTTAGCAGCTGAATAATAATAGTAATAATAATAATAATAATAATAATAATAATAATAATAATAATAATAATAATGTCGCCGCGAAAGGGGCACAGTTGAAACGAATGAGATTATGAAAACCGCCGCACACAGGTCTGAGTCATAATGCTGACGTCAGCTTCATGCTGACCAATTACGAATGAAGCAAGACTGCGTGTTTTGTCTCATGTCATGATCCTTGTCTTGACCGTCTTGACGCAGTTGGTGTGCGGCCGCCCTAAGACATGAACTTTCTTCGCCCTCTCGAAAACTGGGGACGTGGGTTCGAATCCTACTCGAGACATAAATATCTGTGTACGTTTATTCTGTGTTTGTTTTGTTCTGTGTGTAGGTAGCGGCCATGAGACGGGCTGATCCCCCGTCCAAGGAGTTCTACCGACTGTGTGTAGATTAAGAAATTGAAAAAGCGGCCAAGGTCCAAAGGGACGTAGAACCGTAGAGACAGAGACAATGTTTCGAATTCATACTTAAGCTTAATTGTTTCCAGGGGTTTATTCCAATAATTAAAGCGGCCATAGGATAATTTTGACCACTTCCCCTTTAATTTCCAGGTTACCTTTATGTCAAGTGTATATATAAACATCACTTTTGTGATTTCAAGGCACGGTGCTTAGACAAAGGGACAGGATTTTAATACATTTTCAAGGAATGACATCTGGACACTACATTGAATCCCATGGAATCTGCTTTTAAATTTGTTAGAGAGTAAACACCTCACTATTGAAAAAGCAGACTTTGTAAGGGTGACATAAGGAAATGAATCTGCACACTAATTCGAATCGACAGCTCACGTTCGGAACTGAAATTAGGTGATAAAATACGGTTCAAAAGGAACTGAGTTTTGTGCTCCTTTCGCCTGTACAGTGGCTTACTAATATTACGGAAAGTGTACACACTTGTTTACCATGAAAAAGTTTTTCGTACTTATTAATGGGGTTTGATCATGCGAGGAAATATGTATTTCCCCCTCAAAAATTGGGAACCTTGATAGCTCAGTCGATATAACGATGTGTTACGGGCTGGACGACCAGATTTTGTTTCTCAGCAGAAGCAAAAATTTGTTTCTCCACAGAATCCAGACTGGCTCTTGGTCACATCCACTTTAGTATCAAATGGGTATCGGGGTTCTTTTCTCGGAATTAAAGCGGCCAGCGCGTGAAGCTGACAATTAACCTCCATCTAGTGCAGAGGTCAAGAATGGTAAAGCTATGCCTCCACTCCTCTATATGCCTTCATGGCATACTGTTTAATTAAATAAGCACAAGGACAGCAATTATTATTATTATTTTTATTATTATGACTGCTCTACAGCCCTTTGTTGTGCCTTGGCTGCTTTGTCAGTTTCTAGACCTTTTACACAGTCAGTAGGACCCTTGGTCGGGGGATCAGCCTATCGCAAGGCCTCTACCTAAACATAGAACAACACAAACACAGAATAAATGCATACAATACAGACATCCATGCCTTCAGTGGGATTCCAACCCACAATCCCAACTTTTCAGCGAACAAAGACAGCTTATGCCTTAGACCGCGCGGTCACTGTGACCGACAACCTTACTTTTGCTTCCGTAAGTGTTTATTTACGCAAGAGAGACAGTTTACTCATTTTTTTCCCTTGGCACTACAGACCTAGTGGGCCTAGGTCTACCTCCATGAACTTCTTCGTTCACTTCGGTTTTTCTAGATCTTACACATTCGGTAGGACTCCTTGGGCGGGTGATCAGCTCATCGCAAGGCCTCTACCTGTACACAAACACAGAAAAACGCACACACAAACTAAACATCCATGCCATGAGTGGGATTCGAACCCACGATCCCGGTTTCCAAGCGAGCGAAGATAGTACATGCTTCAGTGTACTCATAGCGTTAGCAATTTAGGCGTGATTACTCTGTCTTGTTTAATTATCTAGCAAATTATAATTTTAAAGAAGTAACGATGGTAGGAGGCGTTGAATGACACTTTTAGTAAATATACATTTATGCACATGTTCAGCTATTACGCCAGGCTGGATGCAGCTTCATTTGCATGTTGTCGACAATAGAAAAGACTTCGGTTACCTTCGGTCAAGTTCAGAAGAACAACGTCTATTTTTGGATATGCAACTTTGGAAATGTAAGCACAGCATAACAATTCCTGTTTAATTATCTCGAGAAAAACAAGACCTGAAAAGAAATTGCACCGAACACAAAATATACATGTACATATATTTTATTCTTCTCCACAGCATCAGTTCGGAACAAGTCCAAGAAGGAGTCTATTTGCAATTTGCTGTTAGTCTCTTTCGGTGTCGAGTCGGTTCTGGGAATGAAGGACACAATTTTCAGTGTATTGTGACACAGTACTTTTCGCTGTTGGACGTCTTCTCTGAAGACAGGACAGGTCTGTCCTTTGCAAAAACTCTGCGTATTAGTTTCATGCATGTGTATTACAAAGAAACAACATTTCCGTTTGAGTGTATACACAAAAACACAGAGAATGCGAGAAGCCTGTTCTCTTCCAGCGTCTGTACAGCAGATTATGACTCATCATATTTAGCTAGCTCTATACTGGAGCTTAGAAGCTTGAATGGTCGCAACTTTGATGACTCCTCGTTTACTGTGTTGGGCTTCACACTGTCCTACGTTTGCGAATATTAGTGTTATCGTGATTTTTAATGACTTCTACTGGCTAACTCCATAATTTTGCAATGTAGTGATGAACATACTGTAGCCGGAAAGCCGCAAGCAAATTGCGAAACCGTGTGTTGAAAATATCCAGTGTTGCAAAGAACGCTGTTTTACACGCACTAAAACTTCATGAGATCGCTGTCATTCGATAATTCCCTGACTATTAAAATGTAAGTCACTGTGGACGTACAAGTAATAACTGTATTATGGAAGGGTACATTTATGTTAGCGCTTAATCGTTAGACTCCAATAAATACGCGGTAGGCCATGCTTCTAATGTTTCTATGTGTAATCTCTATATAATCTTCCTACCAATGATATTATCGGAATATTATAGGCGATTGTTCGGGGCACGTTTTGCTCCGACAGATATTGAGCTACTTACATTCGAGATTCGGCCAAGAACGGAATTGATTTCCCTGTAAAGTACCCATTATTTCCGGATTATTCAAACCAAAATTGGGTTTGTGCATTAGCATGCTTTCCCAAATATCACGTATCATAATGTATGGTTATCAAGAGAAACATAATGATCAAGAGAAATACTTATGTTTGGATTGGAAGATACAGACAATGAAACTTCAAATATATATGGACTAAATTTCTTCTAAATAAAAACTCCGTGGCTTTAGTCCGCAAGCGAAATATACCGACCGAGCGATCGACGCTTGTCGGCGAAGTTAGTGTCAACTTCAGCGGATAGAGGATGTCACGTGGTCAGCGCAACGAATCCTCACGGACTTTAATTTCGGTTTTCTAGACCGGAGCTGCTAATTTTCCATTCAAGTAGCTCCACAGTTATCCTCACGAGGCTGAGTGGACCCCGTTCCAGATCCACTACTTATCGGAAAATCTGGTAGCGCCGGGATTTGAACCCGGGACCTCTGGGTCTGTAGCCAGGAAATCTGACTACTAGACCACAGACACAAATTTCTTCTACAAATAATATAAAAATTGTTTCTTACCTCAAAGGAAACACGTTTCCGCTACAAAGACCAACCGGTTAATGCTGTTTAGAGAAACAATCGCTTTTTACTGTCAGACCTATATGAAACAACACACAAACACATTCTGTGGGCAGAATCAGAGTATGGATGTTTTAAAGCAGAACTACTGCACTTTGAACGGTTGATGATACGAAAGAAGGCATGTCTAGTCAAATAAAAATTGCCTTTAGTATAACTTCATCTCAAGTGTGTCTATCGATCGCTATGTTTGTAACAAACCGATATATGCTGGCAATTATTTGCAACATTATGAGCCATCGTTGGCAGTTAAAGCCTTGTAAGAGACAAGTGATCCCATCGAACAGAACCAGACAGTCTGTGTGCTGTACTAGAAGCTGCTTATTCTGAATAGCGTCAATTAGAAAATCGCTGTATCACGTTCCCTCAGATAACACAGAACATCGACAAGACTCGAGTCTCATCAACAGTAAAGTAGGAAACTGTATCCTTTTTAAGTCTAATAAACCCTCAGTTCGCCGGTCACGGTAGCCGAGCGGTCAAAGACATGTACTGTCTTCGTTCGCTTGGAAACCGGGATCGTGGGTTCGGATCTGTTTCCTGTGAGGTACGAACTGAATTCTTATATATTCTTATACACTGCCAGTCCCTGTAGCCGAGCAGTCTAAGGCATGTACTGTCTTCGCTCGCTTGGAAACCGGGATCGTGAGTTCGAATCCCACTCAGGACATGGATGTTTAGTTTGTGTGTGTGCGTTTTTCTGTGCTTGTGTACAGGTAGAGGTCTTGCGACGAGCTGATCACCCGCCCAAGGAGTCCTACTGAATGTGTAAGCTCTAGAAAAACCGAAGTGAACGGAGAAGTTCATGGAGGTAGGCCTAGGCCCACTGAGGCTGTAGTACCAAGGAAAGAAAAAAAACAAATATCTCTTAGTGGAATCCCAGTCATGCCTAACACTTTCTAATTTACCTCTTATTGCTGAAAAGTCAAAGAATGCCACTACAGACAGAGAAAATTGAAATGGGTTATTTTTTCCTGAATAAATTTTACATTAATGAAATACACACACATTGACAGATATTACTCAAATATAAGTACCTAACTATCTTCAGAGAGATGATATATGAATTCAGTCGCATGTGATGTATAGCAGTTTACATGGATACTGACCTAGATTCTATTCAGAAATACCTTGCATACCTTTGTAAAGTAATTCATCCCATAATAGGCACTAACTCTACTTCACGAAAACAGTATCTACACTCAAGGAAACGCATACAAAAAAGAAACCTGTTTGTTAATTGTGACAGGTTATTGTGCTTTGANAAAAGCAGACTGCTTTTACCGTTCTCACGGTCTTGTCGCTTGCAGATTTCTTATACTTTTTCTTCTACCCTGAAGATGGAGGCGATACGTTCCTCCGAAACGTCGGTTAACGCCACTTATACACGGTGCCAAATCCCAGAAGACTGCTTTCTTCACTTGCTGTTTGTTAACATTCTAACATTCATTGTTTACTACTGTAGTAACTCGTCAACAAGTAAACTTTCCCTAGTACTGTATATTAAGATGGATGTGAAAAATATCACACTGATTTCTGGAACGCCGTTAATGTAAGAGCAATATACAATACGCATTTGCTAGCGGAAGGCTTACACATATTTTTACAAGCGCTCTGTGTTACATCTACTGTATTCCTAAATTACAACACATATCACTAAATGTGGTGATCCCGTGGATATGTTCTAGATTTATATCTGTGAGGTGCTTCATTCGAATTTATGCTGGAAAATCGGTTATCCTAATTTAGGTTTGTGGTTTTATCAGTTCCACCAGTAAATTCAGGAATAAAACCTCATCTGGGTCACGATCGCTTCGTTGCAAGTTCCTTCCAATTCGTCATTCATCTATAATTCCACTACCAGACGGCATATATTCCATAAATATTATGTTTTTGAACATTATCCATCCTATTATTTTTATCTAAAAACCGTTCCGTTTATTTTTCAAAACACAACGTTTCGGGGTCTTGATTCTTTCTCCGTCTTCAGGTAAAACCTGTTCAGTTGGGCCCAATTGATAGAGCTAGTCCTTACCTCCGGAGGTAATATTTATATTAATGTACCTTGTCACAAATTTTAGATCTAATTGACATATATTCTAGATACTAAAAGCGTTATAATACAACCCCAAAAAATATATTGATAGTAGACATTCACCATTCATTCGTGGGAAGACACAATTCAATGCAATTCGGAGGGAGTGGTTTTGCTTTCTTTATGCCATTTGTAGATACAGGCAGCAAACTAATAAAGGAAACGTATTTTCGTTCCCGGGATTAACATCTAACGCCAATGCTGCGGGCGAGTTACTTCACACTGATCTACACACAAACGAGGACATGCACTCACTTTGAAATGTACGAGACATGTTGGCTGATCTCATCATGTAAGCGGTTTACCAAATATCCCTATGTTCCTCTACAGCTTTGCAGAGGGGTATTTACTGTAAATGTAAAGCTTCACAATCTGTGTTGCATGCAAACAATGACTACTTTCTGCTTCCTCTGCAGGGTAGCTGTGTTTGTTCGCCGCCCTGGACCGTCCTTCGGAACGACATGGGATACTTATATGGCACCATTCAGCAATAAATTATGGATGGCTGTGTTGTGTGCCATCTTGGGTCTCTCATTTGGTCTCACGGTCACGCTCAGCATAGGATGTCGCATTGGAATCGAGAAAAATGACAGAACTACCCATCTCTCCTTATACGATTCATTCATATACATATTTGGTTCTGTTTGTCAGCAAGGTATGTCTCTCATTGTACCTAGAAAATCTGCTTTGCCTAGTCTTCGTTCTTCATTTTAGGCTATACTAAAACCTTCAATTGGAGGACTCATATGAAATTCAAGACACAGCCTAATTATTGTGACATTACTTTCAGGCAGAAAGGTAAAAAAAAGGTAAAGCTATCCCTGTAACAGACCATGGAGGTCCATGGGTTTGTGAGACGTTGAGGGTCACACATTATCTAGATAATTAACCCACAGATGACTGTAAGGTTGTAAGCTCTACGCGCCGACCGCCTTTACCCCCAGGATGATTCCTGGTACTCATTTCTTTTAGAGACTGAATCGACCCCAGGGCCACATTGCGGCTGGAAGGATTAGGTAAATTGGAAAAAATCCACCTCATTGGGAATCGAACTCGCGACCTTTCAGCTTTTAGCATAGTGCTTCAGCCAAGTACCCTACCGCGTGCACCCCCTTACAATCAGGACGATTTTATAAAGAGATTCCTCCCCAAACTCGTAGGAAACTACCATTGTAATCTTTTGTATCCTCAAGTTTTGTGAACAATGTTTAAATTTTCAGTTTCTATCGCATATATAACAGACCAAACCTCAATTACGAGGACAAAACAGTTAATAATATTTAGAAAAATTATCTCTCCTTAATCTTAGAATCATAAAAAATGGGCAAACGTAATATGTGGGCATAATGCAGGGTTCTTGACGTTAAAGCAGGTGGTATTCATTCGTTCTTCAATGCCTCTACAGCTCTTTGTTGGACTTGGCTGCTTATTCAATTTCTTAATATTTTACACAGTCCGTAGGACTTCTTGGACGAGAGATCAGCTCGTCGTAAGGCCTCTGCCTACACACAGGACAATACAAACACAAAATAAACACATACATCTATGCATTGAGTGGGATTCGAACCAATGATCCCAGCGTTCCAGCGAGCAAAGACATTTCATGCCTTAGACCGCGCGACCACCGCGATCGGCAGGTGGTATGCATGGTGATCATTATTCTATATAGGCTTTAGGTGAGAGGCGAATTCGGGTTGGACACATATGTAAAATACGTACTTAATAGAGAAACAACGTTGAAGTTAGTAGAGTTAACATATGAGAGTAACGGTATCACATGGTAATTGTTAAACTTAGACATAATATTCGAAATCAGGTTGGCGTGGGACAAAATATTCTTACAGAAATATCAACAAAGTGAAACATCTGTCGCTAGGCCTCTTTAAATATTATCGTTGTAAGGTTCTCTGTATCAAGAATGGAGATGTATTCCAGAGATATTTATATTGTCGAACAAGCAAAATTAATAATATTCTGTAATTTTTTTATTCCTAGTGGGGTGGGACTAAGTCCCTTGTACTGCGGCCACTTCTGGCCTATTGTACCAGCCCCAGATGATAGGTGAGGGTGATTGTGGAGCAATTGGTTGAATGAAGATTGGCAGGAGAAACCGAAGTACTCGGAGAAAACCTGCCCCAGTGCCACTTTGTCCACCACAAATCCCACTTGACCAGACCCGGGATCGAACCCGGGCCGCCGCGGTGGGAAACCAGCGACTAACCGCCGAGCTATGGCGCGGCCTTATAATATTCCGTAACACAGAGTGTAAATGGGTAGTGGAAGCAGTCTGATTGACATATTACGTTTTATTCCGACTGAGTTCAAAAAGACCTTGGTCCTCAGCCAATATTTTCGGATTCACGTTACAGAATCACAGCCTATGCTTATTTTATGTTTGTAATGTAACTCTACATTTTTTAGATTACTACTAATAAAATGCTGGTCACGGTAGCCGAGCGGTCTAAGGCATGTACATTCTTTCCTCGCTCGGAAGCCGGGATCGTTGGTTCCAATCTCACAGGAGGCATGGATGTTTAATGTGTGTATGCGTTTAGTCTGTGTATAGGTAGAGGCCTTTCGATGGGCCGATCACCCGTTCAAGGAGTCCTACCGTCTGTAAAATTATTATGAAAATTACAAATCAGCCCTATGCTCCAAATTGGGAGCAAGAGGAGATAAAAAACTAGTAACATCGTAAAAAAAAATATATGTCTCCTTGGAGTCACAGTGCCGATCACAGACGACGCGTGGTCTAAGGCATGAAACGTCTTCACCCGTTCGAATATTGGAATCGTGGTTTCGAATCTCATTCAACGCATGAATAACTTTGTGCGTTTATTCTGTGTGTAGAAAGCGGTCTAGAGACGGGATGATCCCACGCCCAAGGAGTCCTACAGACTGTGTATAGATTAAGGTAGGTGACACATCGGATTGCGTCAAGACATGTAACAGTCAAGACACGATGTCTGCGACATGACGCAAAGAAATGAACACAGTTGAAACGAATGACATTATGAAAACCGCCGCACATCGGTCTGAGTCAAGATTCTCACGTCAGCTTCATGCTGCCGAATCACGAATGAAGCAAGACTGCGTCTTTGTCTCATGTCTTTAAGCAAATAGTGTGCGGCCGCCCTAAGAAACAGAAAAAACAGCCAAGGCCCACAAGGTCTGTAGAGTCACACAGACAGATAAAGGGGGAGTCACAGCACACAGCAATTGTGACCACTATTCAGAGAAGCGGTAGGATAACTTAAAGTGAGGATAATTGTATTTTAAGGCTTTCATATACATACGAAAGCAAGGAAATCGCAAATAAATATTACACCGAAATGGATTCCACTCTGTAATTCCAGTGTTTATTCCAAGGATTAAATCTAGTGGCTACCGGCTGTGTCCACGTTACCAGACTAATTAAGATCTTACTGCATCGTCGGTACTAAAAGCTCTTTTGCATTATCGTAATAGTCAAAGATATCACCACAAAGATCAGTGATAAAAACGTTTCAGCTTTCAGACATTCCAGTTACTGTCCCATAATGTCACAGCTTAGGAGTCTATTCACGGAAGTCGCCAATTATTCCCTCCTGTTTACCATCATGTAAATCATTAGTGCAGCTTGCGAGGTGGTGGGGTTTTGCTGCAACAGACTCACCTCCGAGACATCTCGGGTTTCCGGTTCCTGCAACGGAATCTGAGAACTCTGTACTCTAGAGATGGGATATGCAGACAGCTTTTGTCTGTGTTCACTGCAAGTCAAACGTGGGCGAACTACGGTCACGAAAAATTCACTCCGCACTGCGGTAATAACCAGTTACATTTAACAATATACCTCAGCTCTCTAGAGCCAGAATAGCGCAGTCGGTATAGCGACTGACTGCGGGCTGGACGATCGAGGGGTCGGAGTTCGAGTCCCGGTAAAGTAAAAATTTTTCCCTTCCCCTCGTCGTCCAGATCTGGGGCCCATCCAATGGGTACCAAAGGCTCTTTTCCTTGGAGTAAAGCGTCCAGGGCATGAAGCTGGCCATTCACTTCTAACTAATGGAGAGGTCAAGAAAATATAGATCTATATTTCCACTTCTCCATACGCCTTAATGGCGTAGTACTTACTTAGTTAAGCACAGACCGCGCCATAGCTCAAGCGGTTAGTCTCTGGCTTTCCACCGCGGCGACCCGGGTTCGATCCCAGGTCTGGTCAAGTGGAATTTGTGATGGACATAGTAGCACTGGGGAGGGTTTTCTCCGAGTACTTCGGTTTCCCCTGCCAATCTTCAATCCAGCAAATTCTCCATAATCATAATCACCCGGGGCAGGCTACAATCGGCCAATCAGTCGCCGTGCCGAGTGGACCCAGTTGGACTCGACCCCCCACTAAGCGAATTAAAAAAAATTAATTCGTTAAGCACAGGAACAATTTTTATCCCTAGGTATAACTCTGTATTTAACTCTCATTCCCATCTATTCACACGCAAGAGGAAAAGGAATTTACATAGGGTCGTGGTGTGAAATCCAGAAGGGAAGAGGCCACTACAAATATTCACACGGAGATGGGTGGATAATATTAAAATGAATCTTCGAGCCATAGTTTTGGGTAATATGGAATGAATTCATCTGGTTCTGGACAGGGGCCACTAGCGGGCTATTGGTAACAAGCCTTCGGGTTCCATACAATTTGGGGGGGAATTCTTCAGTAGGTGAGTGACTGATGGCTTCAAAAGGTCGATTGCTTCCATGGAGTTAGTTTCTGTACTCACTAACATTAGGGGCACGCGGTACTGTAGTTGGTTGAGGCACTATTCTACAAAGCGACAGGTCGGGGTTTCGAGTTCCTATGAGTTGGACTTTTTCGGTTTACCTAATCCTTCCAGCCGCGCTAAGGGCCGGAGTTCGGTTCAGTCTCTAACAGAAATGAGTACCAGAAATCTTCATAAGAGGGTAAAGGGCGGCCGGCGCTTAAGTTTGCTGACCTTACCGACATCTGGGCGTCGACTGTATAAAGAAACTGTGGGAGCATCGTCGTCTCACGGCCTGCTACAGGGATAGCTTCATGTTTTTCTTTTTACTCACTAAGGTTACGAGCGCAAATATAAATTTTTAAGTATGCCCATGTTTTTACCTAATTTGCATAATTACTATAAGTACATGCATTTACTATAAATAAAAATATATATATCCTATCACAGTGGCCGCGCGGTGTAAAGCATGAACCGTCTTTCCTCGCTCATACTCTGGGATCGTGAGTTAGAATCCCACTCGAGGCATGGATGACTGTGTGCGTTCTTTCTGTGTTTGTGCTGTTGTGTGCGTAGGGAGCTGCCTTGCGATGGGCTGATCTCCCGTCCAAGGAGTCCTACCGACAGTGCATAGATTAAGAAACTGAAAAATCTGCCAAGGTCCACGAGGGCTGTAGAGCCATAGATAGATAGGCAGACAGACAGTCAAATAAGAATAGGTGGTAGGTGGGTAGTTGGGTGGGTAGATGGGTGGGTAGATAGACAGACGGACAGACAGAAAGACAGACATAGATAAACGGATATTTAGTTAGGAGAATGGCATGAATCTTTTGGTACAGGCTATATAGTAAGAATTTATTTTGTTGTTTTAACTTGTTCTGCTTGCCAACTGCTTTCAAGCTAGTTCTTGCTTGATTTATTCTTCGACCATGAAGATGGAGGCGATATGTTCCCCCGAAACTTCGGTTGACTTTTAGCGAACTATACTGCTTTATATGCCAGAAGATATAAATCTTCATAAACAGAGCTGTGAGAACCTCAAATCCCATATATTTTAATCTTAATTTCTACCTCACTCCCTGGAACTTACCCCTTCTTGAGCAACCGACAGAGGCCCGGATAATGAAGAAATTCCCTGACTTTTATGAAATATGAACCTTCATTACCACGCCCATGGGAACTGGCCTTATCGTCCTATGCTAATGCAGTTAGATTAGCTCCAGACAATTTCTTCATGTACTATTTCCTTAAGATCCACTTTGACACATACTTTTATTCTCATTTACTAGTGGGTTTCCGAAGTTTCCTGTACTGTTTAATGTTTCTAACTAAAATTTTGTATATGTCTTCATCTCTGTTACTAAAGATATTAATATATGACATAGTGTCCATTTTCATGCACTGTCTTCGCTCGCTTGGAAACCGGGATCGTGAGTTCGAATCCCACTCAGGGCATGGATGTTTAGTTTGTGTGTGTGCGTTTTTCTGTGTTTGTGTACAGGTAGAGGCCTTGCGACGAGCTGATTACCCGCCCAGGGATTCCTACCGAATGTGTAAGATCTAGAAGAACTGAAGTGAACGGAGAAGTTCATGGAGGTAGACCTAGGCCCACTGGGGCTGTAGTACCAAGGGGGAAAAAAAAATGTCCATTTTAACTATCTTAATTAGTCAATAGCCAGTCACGGTAGCCGAG